GCTAGCTAGCAAGCCCCAGGGATCCTCCTGTCCCCACCTCTCCAGTGCTGGCATTACAGGAGTGTTCTGCCTTGTGTGGGTACTAGTATGGAACTTAGATCTTCATTCTTGCACAGTAAGCACTTTACCTACTGAGCATCTCTCTAGCTCCCTTCTGATCTTTTGCCTGCTGAATCTGTCCATTACCGATTGGAGTTGTTAGTTTTTTTTTTTTTTTTTTTTTTTTTTTCTTTTTTGGGCTTTGAGCCGGGGACTCCCTGTAGCCCCAGCTGTCCTGGAACTCACTATGTGGACCAGGCTGGCCTCAAACTCAGAGAGATCCGCCTGCCTCTGCCTCCCAAGTGCTGGGACTAAAGGTGTGCGCCTTACAGTCTTGATGTTAATACATTTTTTACTTTTCCTTACAGCTCCATCAGTTTTTACCACATACATTTTGGTACACCATCATTAGACGCATAGCACGTTGTTTGTTGCTGTGTCTTATTGAAGAATTGACTTGTTAAAAGTATTTTGTAGCCAGGCGTGGTGGTGTATGCCTTTAATCCCAGAACTTGGGAGAGGCAGAGGCAGGTGGATCTTTGTGAGTTCAAGGCCAGCCTGATCTACATAGCACGTTCCAGGACAGCTGGGGCTACAGGAAGACCCTGTCTCAAAAAGACAAAAAAAAAAAAAAGAAGAAGAAGTATTTTATTTAGGGGCTGGAGAGATGGCTCAGCAGTTAAGAACACTGGTTGTTCTTGCAGAAGACTCGGGTTCGAATCCCAGCACCCACACGGCAGCTAACAACTGTCCATAACTCCAGCCCCAGGGGATCCAACAGCCTGTTCTTACCTCTGCAGGCATTGCACAACACGGGTGCACTTACCTACATGCAGGCAGTACACCCATACACATAAAATAAAAATAAAATTTTTTTAAAAAGTATTTAAGCCAAGTGTGGTGGTGCATGCCTTTAATCCCACACTCTAGAGGCAGAGGCAGGTGGATCTCTGTGAGTTCATAGCCAGCCTGGTCTACACAGCAAGTTCCAGGCTAGCTGGGGCTACAGGGAGACTCTGTCTCAAAAAGACCAACAGAAGTTTATTTATTATTTTTGCTATATGTGTATGTGTGTATTGCCTGAATGTATGTAAGTGCACTTGTGTCATGTAATGCCCCTGGAGGACAGAAGAGGCCATCGGATCCCTTGGAACTGGAGTTATGGACAGTTGTTAACCACCATGTGGGTGCTGGGATTCAAACCCCGGTGGTCATCTGCAAGAGCAGCCAGTACTTTTTTTTTTTTTTTTTTTTTTGTCTTTTTGAAACAGGGTCTCCCTGTAGACCAGGCTGGCCTTGAACTCGCAGAGATCAGCCTGCCTCTGCCTCCCGAGTGCTGGGACTAAAGGTGTGCACTACCGTGCCTGGCTTGAGCTGCCCGTACTCTTAACCACTGAGCCATCTCGCCAACTCCTGTATGCCTCTTTTATCCCCAATTTTTTCCCCCTATGATACTGGAAATTGAGCCCAAGGCTTCATGAATGCTAGGCAAGTGATCTACCACTGAGCTTATATGCACTACTCCTTAGGACTTTCTTTGTTTTTTGCTTTTTGAGGCAAGATCTCACTACTTAACCCTTGGTGGCCTGGAACTCACTGTGTTGACCAGGCTGGCCTTGAACTCACAGAGATCCACCTGCCTCTGCCTCCCAAATGCTGGGTTTGAAGGCATACACGACCATGCCTGGCCCTTAGTATGTTCTTGACCTAAAGTCTGTTGCCTAAAATTCAGCTTCTTTCACTTTCAGCACAGTAGATCTTTTCTTGCTTACTCAATCTCTATATCTTCGTAATTAAAATGGTTTTGTAGAGAACATGGTTGGATCTTGCTTTATTTTAAAATGCTGACTCCTTATCTCTGAATAGGACACATGTATCAAACGTCCACCTCCCAAGGCTCAGGGATCATTGTGGAAGAGGGGGCAGATAGATTGTAAGAGCCAGAGGAGGTGGATGACCACAAAGAAACCATTTTCCAGACAGTTTTTAGTTACTCAGATGAACTCACAGCAATGGCGACAGCATGCACACATTTCTTTCTTTTTTTTTTTTTTTTAAGCTTTTACAATTTTATTAAAATCTTAAAAAAAAAAAAAAATCCTCAGGGCAGATGAGCTGGTAATCTTGGCACCAGCCTCAAGGAGATGAATAGTGGGAAGTAGGAAAGAAAGCCATGGAGCCATGCAGGTTTAGAGCCTGCGAGGGAGATCGGACACGTGGCTGACTCGCAGCCACATGGCTGGGAGAAGGAAGCTTTAGAGACAAAGTGAAGAAATACACTTGCTAGGGGCAGCCTGAAGCCTTAGGGAAAGCATATTTCATAAGAAAGGCATGAAGAAGAAAAGGAGAAATTACGCTTTCCTGAAGAGTTCAGGAAAGCGGACAGACTTACAGAGACCTACATGACTGGCTGGTCTGGAAGTTCTGCAGAGCAGCATACACACATTTCACATTAGCTCATTCCAGACAAAATCCCAGCATAGGCATGGGGAAGTGGGTAAGAAACCCCAGCCCTACCTGAGGAATTACTAGCAACCGATGACTGCTGGGAAGGGGAGATTCAATCTCTTTTAAGAGTGAGGCTCTTAGACAAGGCTTCCAGTTCATGAATCCACACTGATGGTCATTTAGAGACACAAACTTGATTCTATAGGCCTTAATTATATATATTATATTAGAGTGCAGAAATTTGTGTTAGAAAGTAGAGGGGGAGTACAGATACTGGATGGGGATCTAAATATGATCAAAATGTATGGAATTCAAAAAATTCAATTAAAAAACTAATAAAAAATGCAGTCTGACAATCTTTATCTTTTTTCCCCACGTGTGTGTGTGTGTGTGTGTGTGTGTGTGTGTGTGTGTCTGTCCAAGGAAGAATGTCAAACGTCCTGTTCCTCACTTTATTCCCTTTCTACTTTATTCCCTTGAGACAGGGCCTCTTAGTGAATCTGGACTAGGCTGGTGGCCAGCAAGCCCTAGCAGTCCAAGAGCCTTGTGAATGGATAAGGGCCACATCAATAGTCTTGTGATTAGGTCTCAGGGTCTTAGTAACCCTGTGACCCTGGGCTGTGAATTTCACGTAGCCTCCTGGTTTTGTTTTGTTTTGTTTTGTTTTGTTTTGTTTTGTTTTGTTTTGTTTTGTTTTGTTGTCCTTAGGAGAGACAGAAAGGCTAGAGAGAGTAGGAGTTGGCTACTTCCTCTCTTATAGGCAGTTTAGGCCCGGGAGAAGTAGTTTTCTTTGAGGAAAAGCCTGTGTTAGAAACAATAGAATGGCCTAGTTGTATTTTAAGATTTTACTATGTTTTAGGTTTTTTTTTTTTAAAGTATTTATCTATTTATTTCTTTTTTGAGATAGGATCCCATTTAGCCCATGCTAGCTTTGAATTTACTCTGTAGCAGAGGCTGGCCCTGAACTCTTGATCTTCCTGCCTCTGCCTCCTGGGTACTAAGGTTGTAGGCACGTGCTAACACACTTGGCTTTCTTTTTTCTTTGAAACCTCAATTGTCAAACGGATCTAGGAATGGCTGTTGACTTTCCGTTTGTTAGCTTTCTTGTTGTGAGGATGAGAGTGATATTCCCCGGCTCTTTACATGCTAGACTGGAGACTAGAAATCCCACTTCACCCCCTTTTTAATAAAGATCTTATCTATATGAATTAATGAATAACTAAGCACTGTTGAGTTTAAGAAATCTGTTCTTGGGAAGAATATATCAGTAGCCCATTAAAAAAACATTAAGAAATTGTGCTAATTTGTAAGAACTTCAGATCTAGGTGGCAGACAGAACTGCTACCACAGCCATCTGTGCTCCAAGACCTTGTATACTGGGGGTTTGCTAGGCCAAAGGCCTCAGGACCATCTGTTACAAAAGAAACCTCTTTGCTCCTTGTCTTGATCTGTTTAGTACTGCTGTAATAGAATGTTGCAGACTGGGTAAGGGCAGAAATGCATACCTCATGGCTCTGGAGACTGAGATCCATGGTGAAGGGGAGCATCTGGTGAGGGCTTGTTGCATCATTCTGTGGTAGAAAGACAAGAAGGTGAGGGAGCGAAAGGCCAGACATGGCGCCTCAAACCTATAATCCCAAGACTTGGGAAATTCAAACAAAAGGGTTCCACAAAGGGATGGCACTGTTGCTTAGTAGAGTGCTTGCCCAGCATGCAGGAAGCCCTGGGTTTGAGCCGCAGCAGTAGAGAAATTGGGTAAACCTAGCTTTCAGGAGGTAGAAGGCAGGGAGATGGGGAGATTAAGGTCATTCTTGGATACATAGAGGATTCAAGGCTAACCTGGGCTACATGAAACCCTGCCTAAAAAAAAAAGTGGGCGAGGGCGTTAGTGTGAGTTTGAGGCCAGCCTGAGCCACATAGTGAGTTCCACACCAGTGAGGACATAGCAAGATCCTGTCTCCAGAAAGGAAGGAGGGAGGAAAGAAAGAAAAGATAAAAAGATACTTCTGCTACAATGGCATGGATCCATTGTTCAGAACTGAACCTTCATGGCCCAATTACCTCTCTAAAGTCCCACCTCTCAACATTGCTGCTTATGGAAGAATTTCCAACACATGGAGTTTGGGGGACATGTTCAAGCTGTGGAGTTTCACTTCTCTATTTTGTGTACATTTCTCAGCTGCACTGACCTTTGTGATTAATCATTTATTTTTAGTGGGGGTGTGCAGTGTCCCAGAAGTGAGGAGGAAACACTTACCATCTGTCTCTCGATTCTCCCGAAACCAATCTTGAGGTACCCTTGAAGGGCTTATGGTGCCAGTAGTGACTGCGGAGCAGTAGGAAATGTGGGAAGTTTGTATTCAGCCCGAGACTTCAATTAGAATGTAGGATTCTTCCCAGATCCTGGATGTAGATATGTGGGCCTCGTGGCCCCAGGACAGGAACTGTATCTGTGCTCTAGCAATGGGAGTCTTGGCTCTGTCTCATGGCACTCTTTCTTCCCTCTCTTGCAGTATTTAGGTCAGTTAACATCCATACCCGGATACCTGAATCCCTCCAGTAGGACTGAAATCCTGCATTTCATAGACAAGGCAAAGGTAACATATTCCTCCCTGCCCACTTTGCTGCTTGGCCTGCATCAGCCCTTGATCCCCCCACTTTTGATCTCATGGATGACCCAGCTCTATCACATTGTGGGTACTTTTGGTTCTTGACAAAGTCTGTTCCTTGGTTTGAACCTTTATTCTTCAGACTTGTTCTGTGATTTGGGACTGTTTCCTAGATTTACATTTGAAGATAGTCTAGACCATATACTGTAAATCTAAATCTAAAACGGAGTCCCACAAGAATTCCCCACATGGTTTGAACATGTTGGCATCCTTGGAGTGAGTGCCACTGTACTGAGGGGAGCAGCATGCTTGTTCATTTAGATTTGGTCATATGTGGACCTTAACTACTGCAGTGCTTCCTGGGAAGAGTCCAATACAGTGGACCAGCATTTCTGATACCCTGTGGTCCTTCTTTTCAGCGATCCCACCAACTTCCTGGACATTTGACTCAGGAGCATGATGCTGTGCTTAGCCTGTCTGCCTACAATGTTAAGTTGGCTTGGAGAGATGGGGAGGACATTATCCTCAGGGTGCCCATCCATGACATCGCTGCTGTCTCCTATGTCCGAGATGATGCTGCACACCTGGTGGTCCTGAAGACAGGTATGGATTTGGGAGGTCAAGGGGTCCAGAGGTCCATGTCTAAGGAGGATTCCTGACTTTTGTGGCATTTTGAGTGCTTGTCCCACGATGAGTGCTGCTGCCTATTGTACCTGTGAATTGGCTCTACTATCAGCCAGAGAAGGGTTAGCCATGAGCTTTTGTGGCCCCAGAGTCCCTGTCACATTCAGAATACAATGTTTGGGACTGGTATTAAAAGAAGGCCTTCCTCCTGGTGAACTCCCGGTCCCTACCCCTTAGAATGGTATTGCCCTCACTGTCTGGGTGTGGTGGAGCCCCAGAGAGATGGGGAACTGGAAACAGGGACCTTCTCTGAGCCCATCCCATATTTTGAGCCCCAGACAGTTTTCCAAACTGGCACAGCAAAGACAAGTCTTTCCCAGTCTCCTGTGCTGCCTCATGCCCAGGCAGGATTAGCAGGATGCTGTTTGCCATTCATTCTCCTCTCTTTATATGTGTAACACCTGGACACTAGTGTACCAGTTCCCCCCAACTTCCAGTGCCTCTGACCTGGCATTCAAACCAGTGAGAAATGAGAGGAGAAAACATCTCTCCTGTGTGTCACAGGCACGTGGACCTGGGCTACCTGGGTCATATGGATGGTTAGGATGATCCTGAAGCCCTTCAGTTCCAGAGGGCCAGTGATAAGGCATAAGGAATCAGAATTGGTCTAGCCTCTTTTGATGGTGGGAAAGAAACATTTCTGGGCTATGATGCCAGTCTAGGTTGCTATGGTCAACTCACACAGGTAGCTGGAGGGTTGTGAAGGAGTTTTAGCTACTCTGCCTTATCTGTATAGAAGAGTTCACATTCCTTCCCCAGCACACTTACATATTATGCTTTCCTTTATGCAACACATATGTCCAACCCCACACATACTACACACACAGTTGCATACATCATACACTCAGATGAACTTACCTGCCAGACTCAGTCACACCTACACATATACTTGTAGTCACAAATACTTTCTGTACTGTTACCAAGTACATCTGAGTGAGGTCCTCTTGAGATAATATACTTACCAAGGGCAAAGCTGTATTCTATTTTTTAAAGTATATTTATTTAATTTAATTTTTAAAAACTTTTATGTGTATGAGTGTATTGCTTGTATGTATGTGAGTGCACCTGTGTCATGCAATGCCGTGGAGGTCAGAAGAAGGCGTCGGATTCCCCAATCTGGAGTTAAGGACAGTTCATAGCTGCCATGTGGGTGCTGGGAATTGAACCCAGCTCTTCTGCAAGAGCAGTCAGTGCTCTTAACCACTGAGCCATCTCTCCAGCCCCTGTTTTTGTTTTTTTGAGTCTCATTTTCACTCTAGTCCCAGCTGACCTTGAACTTACTCTGTAGTGGAGGTTGGTCTTGAACGCACAATGATCCTTTTATCCCAGCTTCCTGAGTAATCGATTAAACAAGTAAGCCACCATACCTGGCTACAAAGGGAAAAGGTTTATTTTCGCTCATGGCTTCTGAGGTTCCAGTCTGTGTTGTTTGTAGGCTTGGCAATGGGTGTGTGCCAGGTGGCACTGCAGGGATTGCATGGCAGAGCAAAACTGCTTGCTTCATAACCAGAAAGCCCAGAAAGAATAAGGGGCTTGGGTCCTATAGCTTCCTTTGCATGCTGCAGTGACCAGAGGACCTCTCAGAAGGCCCTGCCTCCTGAAAGCTTTGTCACTTCCCAATAACATATCTGGGGCCAAGCCTTTCATACACATCCTTCAAGCAACCGTCAGCATCTAAACTGAATGCTTTCTTATCCTTCTCAGAGTTGTCAAAAAATGGCAATTTAGACTAGGCATGGTAGCACATGCCTTTAATCCCAGCACTCAGGAGGCAGAGGCAGGCAAATCTCTGTGAGTTTGAAGAAGCCATCCTGGTCTACATAGTAAATCCCAGGCCAGCTGGAGCTACAAGGAGACCGTCTCAAAAAAAAAAAAAAAAAAAAAACCTGCTGGGCATGGTGGCGCACGCCTTTAATCCCAGCACTTGGGAGGCAGAGGCAGGCAGATCTCTGTGAGTTCCAGGTCAGCTGGGGTTACAGGGAGGCCCTGTCTTAAAAAGATCAAAAAAATATATATATCAAACAAAACAAAAATCAATTTAGCATGATGCAGAACAAAGTACCTGACACCAGTTATCTCATTTACTATGTATAATAAACCTATGAGAATTCTATTGATTCCTACTCACAGGAAGACCACACTGTTGATGAAGGAGGAATGCCTTGAACTGGTTCTGCCTGGCTTGAGTCTCCAGCTGCTCTATTTAGCACCACCAGGGTGATCCCATTTCTTTAAACTCGGGGTGCTACAGGAGGCATCCTTAGGGACAAAGAGCAAGGCTAGCTCCTGAACAGCGTCCTGTGGGTATTTCAAGCTGGGTGGAGAAGTTCATTATTATTGTTTTTTTTTTTTTTGAGACAGGGTCTCCCTGTAGCCCCAGCTGGCCTGGAACTTGCTCTGTAGACTAGGCTGGCCTTGAATTCACAGAGATCCACCTGCCTCTACTGGGAGAAAAGACGTACGCCACACCATCATACCTGTCCAGAAGTTCATTATTTCTTGTGCTGCAGGAGTTTCTCTGCTTGAATCGTTAGACTAAATTGTTAAAAGAAAGAAAATAGATAGCAAAGGTTTTGAGAGAATTCCTTCCATATAAGGAACTTAATAAGGACAGGTGAGAAGTAGAAGTCCAATACTGCGTCTTTCTCTTTGAGAGAACTGGTTTACCAGAAGAGAATGTGTCTCTGTGTCCCAGGGGCTGACCTCATTTTGGCAGGGCATGTGTTCATCCGTGTTGACTCAGGCTCCTGTGGCACATGATGTGTGCTGGTTTTAGAATTCAGCTTACAGTGTTCCCCACAGAGTCAGGCAGATGAGGAGGTAATGTTGACTTGGTACCTCCTCTCCTATGGCTCTGTTCTGTGCCTTTTCTGTCCAGAGGGTTGCTAGTGTCTGGGGTAGTCTAGGTAGGGGGCTCAGGGCCAGGTCTACTTGAAGAGTAGATGGAAGCAGGGCACCTGTGTGTCTGCCAGAGTGTTTTATGTGATATAGGAGAGACAGATGGCAGGTCTGAGGCTGGCAGTGCAGGGCAGCTTGTGTGGCTGTGTCTCGGCCTATTGCCCAGAGGATAGAAGAGGCATCCTCACAGATGGTACCTGCTTGCCATCCATGCTTCACAGCTGCCTGCTGCCAGCCAGGGAGCCAATTTAAAATGTTACAGAAATAGAAACAAGTAAAACTATTGTTAATAGTCTCTCTCTCTCTCTCTCTGTCTCTCTCTCTCTCTGTCTCTCCTCTCCCCATCTCCCTCCCTCTCTCTTCCTCCTCCTCCCTCCCTCCCTCCCTCCCCTCTACACACTAACACACATACACACACACACACTTCCCCCAACATACTCCCCCCACCCCCCACCACATGCACTCATCAGCCTATCTACATCCCTAACCCCCTGTGTTTTTTAAATTTATATTTATGAGCCAGGTGTGGTGGCACATGCCTTTAATCCCAGCACTTGGGAGACAGAGAAAGGCAGATCTCTGTGAGATCAAGGCTAACCTGCGCTATATAGTTCCAGGCCAGCTGGGGCCATAGAGAGTCTGTCCCCTCCAAAAAAAGGAGGGGGCTGGAGAGATGACTCAGCAGTTAAGAGTACTGGCTGCTCTTGGAGAGGACCCAGGTTCAGTTCCTAGCACCCACGTGGTGACTAACAACCGTAACTCCAGTTCCAGAGGCTCTGATGCCCTCTTCTGACCTATGTGGGCATTGCATGACACAGGTGCACTTAAAAAACATACATAGAGGCAATACACTCATACATATAAATTAAAGATAATAAATAAAATATTTTTAAAAACCAAAAGGGAAAATATATATAATATTTATTTATTTTAGTTAATTTTAAAGACAGTATTTCGTTATGGCTGGTCTTAAACTTACTGTATAATCCAGGTGTGCCTTGAACTCATGGTGATCCTTCTGCCTCTGCCTCCCAAGTGCTGAGATTTCAGGCATGCTCCACCATGCCTGGCTTTACTAATATATTCATGTTACCTCCTGTGTCCAGTGTGGTGCTATGACAGCATGTGATCAATATGAAAATGACTGAGCTAGTTAGTACCTACCTTGTACCAGCTCTGAAGCCCTGAGTGTGGTTTACCCTGTACACAGCTTAGTATGGCCTCTGCTTGCTCTTATGCTCAGTAGCTCTGTGGCCAGTGGCTATTGTAGGGACAGTATAGTCCCCTGGGATCTTATAGCTCATGGGGTAGCCCATTACAGCTGTTGTCCCTGCCTCCTCCCACCTGCACCTGACCTGAGCCTGTCTTTATCTCCAAGACTATATCAAAATCTCAGGTTTTCCCAGTTTTGCCTTCCCCACACACCTGAGATAAACACGTTTTCTGACACCTGGCAGCAGGGCTGCCTCTGAGCTTAGTGTCTAGTCCTGCTGTTCTTCTCAGGCTGGTCTGGCTGTTGTGCTGCTCTCACAGCCAACTCCTGGCCAACTCAGGAATCACACAACAGGTTGTCTGAGGTATAAGGTGTGAGAACATGGCCCTGGAGTATGTCTGTGTCCACAACTGGACTGCACTGTTCACATGCTTTCAGGCGCCTGTGCTTTGATTTACCCATCTGTTAGAGTGCCTAAGAATACAGGGAAACTCCCTGAAAGTGGCCCCTTATTGGGATCCTGTGGGCTCTTGTCTGTCAACTTGAACAATGAGAATTCATGTCTTTTGTGTAGATAAAAGTGGTTGACTGTCAGCTGACATGGGTTTACACATAGTAGAATGTAACGATGGGGGTGCTGTGCTACCCTGGAGCTCTGGCATAGGCTAGTTTTGTTTGGTGGGTAGTTTAGTAGACAGCTAACCCAAAGTGAAGGACTCATGGGCTGCATTTTATTTATTTCTAACTTTAAAAATTTTTATGTTTAGCTGGGCGTGGTGGCACACACCTTTAATCCCAGCACTCAGGAGGCAGAGGCAGGCAGATGTGAGTTCGAGGCCAGCCTGGTCTACATAGTGAGTTCCAGGACAGCTGGGGCTACAGGGAGACCCTGTCTCAAAAAGACCGAAAAAAAGTATTTAAAAAAATTGTTATGTTTGTGTGTGCATATAATGTGCATGTATGACAGCAAGGGGGGAACATATGTGTGCCATGGCTCATGTGTGCAGATCAAAGGACAGCTTTGTGGAATTGATTCTGTCCTTCTACCTTTATGTGGGTTCTGGGGATTGAATTCAGGTTTACCTGCTGAGACATTGTATGGGACCCTGGCCTGGATTTTAAGAGTGACCCAGCTGGTACCACAAGTACCCTTCTGCCTGCCTTCCATCACTACACTAACCTGATGTGTTCATTTCCCAGCCCAGGACCCAGGCATCTCTCCCAGCCAGAGTCTGTGTGCGGAAAGTTCCAGAGGCCTCAGCGCAGGTTCCTTGTCAGAGAGTGCAATGGGGCCAGTAGAGGCATGCTGCCTGGTCATCATGGCCACAGAGAGCAAGGTGAGACAATCTTAGAGTGGCCCAGGCATATATCCAGAGCCCCATCCTGTCTATAACCCAAATCCCTTAGGACCCAATTCACAACCTATGACCAGGCCCTGCCTCCAGCCAAGTCCTACCCATGACCATATCCTACCTACAACCCTGCTGGTAGCCTGGCCCCATATACAACTTTGGCCCTAGCTATTCCTCCAGCTCAGTCTGATGCTGCCCTGTCCCTTCCACCTCACTTCCCAGGCCCTGCCCATGACCTAACCGTGACCCACCTATACCCACAGCAGTGGACACACCCTAGCCCTAGAGGGTGCTTCCTGTGCCTGGTCCTGCTCATCCATCTCTGCCAACCTGGCCCTGGCCCTTCTGGCCTCTCCTTGCCACCACTCTAACACCATCCCAGAGATGGCCAATTGAGCTTTTGCTCATCCTTCTCCTCTTCAAGGTTCCTCTCCTTACCCCTCCACTGATAGGCAGGAGGTGGCCAGAGGCATGGCGGCCTGTATCCTAGACTTAACTTGGTGCTATGAACAGTGCTCACGTGTTCCTCAGCACATGGGAAGTTAGAGAGATACAAAGGGAGGCTGTGAGTTAGGATTTGGGCTCGTCTCAGCCACCCAGTAGCCACAGAGCCTCAGGAGTCACGTCATACCTTCTACTTAATTTCTGCCTCTTCAGTGGCTAATGGTGACTGCCCACCTAAATACCCTCTAGTCTGCCTTGCTTAGCCTTGGTGCTAGTGAAGCTTTCAGCCAAATACTTCTTTGATGTGGGGGCTCCTCATGCATTGTAGGGTATTCGGCAACATCCCTGACTTTCCCTTGTGGTGACCAAAAATGTCCCCTGATACCATCACATGTGGGATTGGGGACAAAATCAGCTCACTAAAGAAACCCTGCTTTAAACAGCATGCTGTTAAGAAACTACTGCACTGCTTCTAGAAATGCTTCTGGGGGTCAAGATGAGACCAGTAATGTCTTTTTCTTTCTGGTGCTCAGCTAGGAATCATGTTGATGGGTTAGTAAGGGGAAGGAGGAGGCAAGGCAGATGCAATACCCATGTCTAGCATGGTTTCCACACACCTGTGAGGCCACACCTAGGCTACTGTGTTCTAGAAGGAGTCTTGCTAGAAGGAGTTCTGTTCTTTGACACCCCTGGGCCATGAAAGACACAGGGACCCTTGATTATGGTCTACTTCCTATTCATATATATAGGGCCTCTGACACATTGTGGGTGCCCTAGAGACTGGGAAGGTACTGTCTGCAGCCTCGGTCACTGAGCACAGCTGCTGCTCTCCACTTACTGTAGGTCGCTGCGGAAGAGCTGTGCTCCCTGCTCAGCCAGGTTTTCCAGATTGTTTACACGGAGTCCACCATCGACTTTCTGGACCGAGCAATATTTGATGGGGCCTCCACACCCACCCACCACCTGTCTCTGCACAGCGGTATGTTGAGTGAAAGTGGGGCCGTGGAGCGGGGCGGCACAAACACTTTGTCTGGAAGCACAGGCTCCCAGTAGGGGCTGCTGCTGAACTGGGGAGGCTGAGCATGGTTTGGGGAGCCTGCCTTTCAATACACCCAGGCCTGGGCTGCTCTTGGTATGTGGATCTTTACATGGCTAGCCTGTGTGAGGTTTTTCAGACTTCCCAAGAGGCCAAGACTGGGAATAGGGGAGTGGCAGGAAGAACCAGTGGCACCCAGCAGGGTCCAGAGCTTGGACTAGTGCAGTCAGGACTTCTGTACTATCCATGATGGCTGGCTGCAGGGCTGTGCAGGCCTCATTAGTTCATGGATACTTCCTAGCTAAGTGTAGTGGCACATACCTGTAATCCCAGAACTCAGGAGGTAGAGGAAGGAGGATTACTGCAAGTTTCAGGCTAGCCTGAGCTATATATATAAGTTATCAAACCCTGTCTTAAAAAATTAAGATACTTATCCAGGCATGGTGGCACACACCTTTAATCCCAGCACTTGGTAGGCAGAGGCAGGCAGATCTCTGTGAGTTCAAGGCCAACCTGGTCTGCATAGTGAGTTCCAGGACAGTTGGGGCTACAGGGAGACCCAGTCTTAAAAAGACCCAAAAAAAAAAAAAAAAAAAAAAAAAAACTTCTTGTATTGGTTACTTTTCTTGTTACTGTGACCAAATACTTGACAAGAAGCAGTTTAAGGGGGAATGGTTTCTTCTAGCCCTCAGTTTGAGGGGATTTTTCTGTCATGGTGGGGAAGACATGGCACCATGTCATGGTGGGCAAGACAGGAGCCGGAGCAGGAAGTCATCAGACCACACTGCATTGATAGGAAGCAGTAGAAAGTGAGCCCAGGCTATAAAACACCAAAGCCTTGGGCTGGAGAGATGGCTCAGAGGTTAAGAACAATGACTGTTCTTGTAGAAGACCCGGGTTCGAATCCCAGCTCCCACATGGCAGCTAACAACTGTCCATAACTCCAGTTCCAGGGGATCCAACAGCCTCTTCTGTCCTCTGTGGGTATTGCACAACATGGGTGCACTTACCTACATGCAGGCAATACACTCACAGACATAAAATAAAATTAATAAAAATATTTTTAAAAGA